ATATATAGATATATTTAACCAAATCAACTTTGTTAATTTGGTGAATCAAGTTTGCTGGTTTTGCACAACTAGTCGGTATTAATTACACAGAATAAATATACTTTATGCTAGACCAAGCATTTGAAGATGAAATGCTGCTCAAGTATGAAAGGCTATTCTCACACACAAATCCCAAATTGCTGGGTGCTAATACCTACCCTCCAACACATGCCCACAAACAGCAGTGGTTACGCAGCAGCAAAAAAAGCAGCAATGTTTTAAGAATTGGGGGGCGGGGGAAGAATCCTTAAGCTTAGTCATCACCTCAAGTAGTATTTGGACAAAAAGGTCCTAAATCAACCCACCAACTAACATCAAAGGAGGAGTATTCAGTCTCCCCATGAGCCCCAACGTGGAATGAGAGGCGAGTGTCTATGCTCATTGCAAGCGCGTATCACTTGGTGGAGCCACTGCACGTTCGCACGAGAGAAGAGGATGTTCTCGTTATGAAGGATTAAGGGCAGCTTGAACAAGAACACAACCAGAACAAGTATGAAAGGGCAGCTCCTCTCTAAAGTGGAAGCATGCCTCCCGCCCACTACACGCAGCCCACCTCTGCAATCCCCGAAGGGCAGAGGAGCACAGCCGTGGCGGTGGCTGTAGTTATGAGGATCCAGAAGCACCAGGCAGCTGCACGAAGGCCCCTCTGCCAGAAGCATTCTTTACCAGAGCACAGGAGTTAGACCTCGTGGTACCACACCGCCCAAACTCCATAGGATCCACACTGCGACCCACAACCGATGGGGGGAACAGCGTTCGCTATCAGTGCTCGATTACTTGGAGCAGTAGGGACAAGGCCTTTGGGAAAGGGCCGAGTGTGTGACTGGGTGACCAAAAGAGCAGGTAAAATTGACCATGAATAGAAATGATGCGATGGACGGCAGGGGGGACACAAAAGCCTCTAGCCTTACCCATGCAGCGATGGGCTCCAAGTTGAACATGGCTGCTCTATGACTCTGTCCCTAACCAATTTTGAAGCCCTGCAGAAAGATCTGAAGACTTGTCCGCAGTACCAGTCATTAGACGATCTCAACAGGCGCTGCACTGCGGGAAGCCCTCAGTGCCGCAGAGTTACACTGTCCTGTGTTATGGTACACAACTCTAACAACTGCATTTTCCTGTCTCTCACATAGGTCTCCTGGCAAAAGAACAGGCCCTGTGCCTGAGAATGGAAGGCACTCTAGACCCTTAACAAAACGCACCAAGCAGTCAAGAAAGGTAAAGGCAAGCCATTGATATTGAAATATTTACACAGCCTAGCTTGGACTTTGGCGGTGGGGAGAGAACAGTTTTCAAATACAGCGTGTTACCATCCTAATTAAAAATGCCAATCGCTGTTGGTGCTTTCCAGTTGTCTGAGCGGATGGTTGAAAGATACAGAGGGAAAGTGGAGATCCTTGTAGTTACAGCAACATCACCCCAAACCCTACCCATTATCACCTCCCAATCCTAACACACCTATGCACGCGGTAGCTATAACACCCGCTCTCCACGCCACCTTTTTCCTTTAAAAACCCAGCCAAACAAAAACAAATGCCTTGGTGACTAGAGCTTAAACATGGAGATAGGATGGCAGGCGGTCTTATGGGAGAACTCCCAGGAAGACCTTAACTGGAGGCTTTGGGTGTGAACACGGGTAACGCCTGCTCCATTGCTCCAGGTATCCATGCCAGTTCCAGAACAGTGCCTACACTGGTCAGCCTTTACAGTATCTGCAAAAGAGATACCGAAAACAATACACCAAAGGAAACAATTTTACCTATTTAAAAGAATTTCCATTCCTAGTTATTGCAAGGTTGCGTTCAGGTTCCGATCTGCTACACGGAGACATCAGCCACCAACTCTGAACTGTGGCAATAAGGAAATTCTTTATTTTCTAAAAGGCGGGGTGGGTTTTTTTCCCAGCTCCGTGGCATGAGTTTTCCAGCTGCCTAGGTTTTCATTTGCCAAATACAGCAGCATTTTATCTATATCTGTTCTGCCCTCCCCACAGAGGATAATCCACCCCCGTAAACATTCTGTCAAAGAAAAGCAGACAGCAGATGTGATTTCTTCTTGGAGATCCTCTAAAATTTAAATCTGAATGACTTGAGAGGACAGCTCTAGCTTCTGCGTTATGCGAACAGACACACTCCTCTATGTCATGCTGCTAAAAGTTTAAAGCAAACTGTGCTAGCTGCACATAAGGCTTTCTTTCAAGTGAACATTAGAAAATATTGGCATACACCAGATATTTCCGCGCCTGACTAACAGTTGAGTGTTTTCTATGCTTGTATACAAAACAGAACACTTGTACAAGGAACATTCATATCCCTCACATGCTTCCTGGTAAACCAGTGCTAAAAATACATACTGGTCCTTAGGAGTCAATGAGCTGGACTGAGAGTCACTAAACCACTGTGCCTCAGCCCTCCTCCCAGTTCGCAGCACGTAGGCTCACACCCACAGGAAAGGGGCAGCACAGGGCTTGGAGACCACGGATTAAAGTCAAACGGAGAGGCAAACGGATTCCCTGTTCAGAACAGCAGTACGCCCTCGAACATCATCGAAAACTGAGATGCCACCACTTGGAAAACACTTACTGTGCATCCCTGCTGGAACTGATGTGGTGATTTCTGAGAAGTGTGCCAAGTTTATGTTGAACTAAGAGTAGAAATCTTCTACTGATTAGTGGAAAGTGTATCACCATTTTATCTTACTGAGATAATCTTTCTCTGCTTCTAGGAATAAAGATATTTAAGATGTTCAACTCCAGCACAAACTCCTCGGGAAACAACTGCAGTCACAGCACAGTAATAACCAAGACAGTCATTCCCGTGGTCTACTGTTTCATTTTCATAGTAGGACTCTCACTGAACGGCATGGCAGCATGGGTCTTTCTGTATGTTTCTAGCACAAAGAGTTTTATTGTCTATCTCAAAAACATCGTCGTTGCCGACCTCCTAATGAGCTTGACGTTTCCTTTCAAAATTCTGGCCGATTCAGAAATTGCACCTCCACAGCTCAACATGTTTGTGTGCAGATACTCTGCTGTTGTTTTTTATACAAACATGTATATCGGGATAACATTTTTTGGCCTCATAGGTTTTGACAGATACTACAAAATTGTGAAGCCTTTATTCACCTCCTTTGTTCACACGGTTAACTACAGTAAGGTGGTCTCTATAATCATATGGTTATTGTTAATGCTTATATCATTTCCAAATATGATCTTAACTAATGAAATCACTAAAGAAAATTATTCCAGAAAGTGCATAGGTCTTAAAAGCGAGCTTGGCAAACAGTGGCATAAGGCGTCAAGTTATATCTGCACAGGGATATTCTGGGTTGTTTTTCTTCTGCTAATCGTTTTTTACACTTCTATATCAAAAAAAATATATAGCTCTTATAAAAAATTCAGAAGGAACTCAGATGCGACCAAGAGAAAAACCAGCCGTAATATATTCAGTATCATGTTTGTATTTGTCATTTGCTTTGTGCCCTATCACGTCTGCAGAATACCATACACTCTAAGTCAAACTAGCTCACAATTCGACTGCCAGTCAAAAAAAACTCTCTTCTATGCAAAGGAGTTTACTCTGGTACTGTCTGCTGCAAATGTGTGCCTCGATCCCATTATTTATTTTTTCCTCTGCCTACCCTTTAAAGAAAAGCTGTATGAAAAACTGCATCTCAAGCTGAAAACTTCAAGTGAGGTTGAAATTTCTAAATCCAGAAGATCAAATACACGGGAAAGTATAAACATACTGTAGGCTCAGGTCTGTACAATAATGCACATTTCAGAAAGTTGATCGAGAACTCAAGTCCCAAACTGAACAGACAGGAACCAGCAATGAAACAGAAACAAGGTTTCAGCATAAAATACTGAGGGGCGTTTCTCTGTATAAAGACATTCTCGCATGTTGCCAATACATTTACTCCGTGCTATTTCAGCTGATCCTACGATTGCATTGTGGTGTGATATGACCTATCTCAAAAAGAGCGCGAGCACTGACTGGAACAGCACGTTCTGGAGCTGCAGGCCAGGGCTCTCCCGAAGCATTATCCAGCAGACCCAAAACCCAAACTGAATTGCCGTGTTTCTCAGGAAGCCGGGCACGGCACCTGCGACGGTCAGCAAACCAGCGTGAAGGGCCGGGGATCGACTGATCTGCCTCGGCGGGAGCTGACCCCGCAGAAGCGGAACGATCAAGTTCAGCGCAAGTCTCTGACTCCGCCAGCCCCAAAGAGGACGGAGATCCTGAGGGGAAGCGCACTCACGTATCTACCAGCTCACAGAGCAAAGCATTGAAGGCAATATGCAGCTTAAGGAAGGACTCTATTCCAACAACTAGGGGGGAAAAAAAAAATTAAAAAAAGAAAAGTAAATACAAATCAAATCCTCAAAGATCTGCAGGGAGTCTGAAAAACCCTTGGTAAAATTTATATATATTTCTTAATATATGTATATGATTTAAGGGAAACATTCTATAAAATTAAGAATTAAACATGATTATTTGTCACACTTAGACACCAAATGTCAGAGTACTTCTATAAAATGTGATGCTCAATTTAAGCAAGTGTTTAAAGGGGATCCTTCTATAAACTAAATAGCAGTTACACTGCACCGCATTCCTCAGGACTCTTCTGAAATAACATGGTGTATGCCAAAAATGCTTAACCCAACCTGACTGAGATTTTAGCAACTCCTCTCTGCAGCTGCAGGAGGAGGTAAGAACACTCAAGGACTTGTCTGAAAACACACAGGTACAGCTGCCTGGAAACTCTGGGGTATACTGAAATCTAGACAGAATGATTTGTTAGTTTTCCCATGCTTCTGGCACGTTGATTTCTCTCTGTACAAAGGTAATAGCTGAAAGCCACCAACCTTCTCTATATAAATATAATCTCTTTTTGAACTGTATTTTTCAGTGCAGCCTTTTTTTTTTTTTTTGATTGATTTTATCATTGTACAGGAAAAACACACTAGTGCATAAAGTGCCCACAAAAGCTCTCCGGCAATGGCTCTGGAAGCTGAATGCTTTCGTTTTACTTAACAAAGAAGATACAAGAACAGAAATAACACGTGCTTCACCTTTCTGCCACTCTGTTTCATTTTAGTCCTAACAGATAAATCTCTCAGGGTGAAAGATTTTTAAACATCTGGTCTTTGAACCTTCTCCAAGGCGTAGGTACACTAAGTATTCTCCCACACGCAGGACTGTATTTCGAGGAAAGGACCGGGCAGCTGTTTAACCTGCCCGCCAGGTTTAAACGCACCTTTGCGCAGCGCATTTACCCCAATTATTTCCAGCTGGCCTG